CGGAGTTCGTGCTCGGACAGTCAGAGCTGGCGTTTGGCCCAGAACGGAACGTTCTGGGTCGAGGGTAGTTTACGTGTTTACTGCTGTTAACTAGCCCCTCCGCTGAGGACAGGTCTGTTCAACAATTTTCCGTAAAAATGCCGTAAAACGCAAGCACGGCATAGTAACCACCGGCGCAGGAGATTGAACAGAGCCTGAATTTTTGAAATTTCTCCGGGGGGTTTATTATATTAGCATTTTTCTGCATTCAGTAGATAATTTAGGAATTTACGCTCATATTTACTCGCCAATCCTTCGATATAGCGCGGAAGTTATAAGGGTGTTCACATGACCGGCATCCGTTTAAGGGCTAATTGGAAATCAGTTCACACATGTTTCATGGAAATGTCCATCTGACAAAAACGTAGAAAACGCAGCATGGATAAAGTCTTGATCAGATCATGTGGAATAACATTACAAAAAACACCTGCTGGAATAGCAGCCTGGTTTAAGCCCTATGGATTGTGATTCCACCTGGTTTTAGCAAATTTTGTTATGTAGGTCGAGGTTCAGTATTGATACTGGTGACTGGTAAGATCTGGGCAGAGTCCGCAGACTTCATGTCTAGAAGCATTTTGGTTTATCAACGGGAGACGAGAAAGGCAGATAACTGGATCATCTGGCAATTCCAAAAAGTAAAACAGGCAGCCCTTGACGGCGGGGATGTCATTTTTTTCGAAAGGCTGTTGAACATAATCCAGATAATTTGGAGGTGAAGCATCCGATGAACACTTGCGAGTTTCGCCTTTGAGGCAGAATAGTTGCAAAAGTCTTCCTGTTGTACGCTTTCTCCAGGCCCAACAGTCGATCAATAACCTCTGTCGGCAGTTAGCAGGATCAGTCTAATCTACTCGAAGAAAAGCATTACTGACAATGACAATGGAGACTGGAACGGCCACTTCCAGCTCGTTAGCCGTTGTCAGCCAATCATACCCAACCCCGAAGTGTGGAACACCTGGGACTCGATCCCGCGACCTGTTGGTTAGAAGTTCAAGTCTCTATCCACTAAGCCACGGGGTCGTTGCCCTGACGGTTGCT